TATAAATTAAATCTTTTATCGTTTTAGAAATAGTTATAACAAATGTTAAGTTTCGATAAATTCTTTTCATTTGTAGTTGTGATAGAGTTGGTAGGTAGAACAATATATTTTGATTATTTAGATTTGTCACGAAAACTTCTTCCCCCTTTGCCATAATTTTTCCATAAAATTTCTCTTGATATATAAAATTTACCATATCGTTTTCTATATATATATATATATATATATATATATATATATATATATATAATATATTAAAATTATATAATGGTATTAATTTTAAATTTTCCTTTATCTACAATTTTTAAAAATCTTTTTCTTAACTTGCATCTGATTGCATTTTCTGATGTATTTTTTTCCCTATTTGAACATGAATTAATATTTGTTAACCTTCAACCGCTTTTAACTTCTGTCTAGACTCGCATATGTCATGACTTTCTGTTCCTCCCACTCTTACTACCTTAGAGTTTCCTTTTTCTCTCTATCTCTTCATTAAGTGCAATTTCCCTTATTTGCTGTTTGTTCCTCTTCTTTCCTCCCTTTTGTCTTGTTTCCTTCTTTTTTAATGTTTATTTTTCAATTAAAAAAAATTAATTTTTTAACAAACGTTTTTGCATTGACAAGACCCAGGGAGATATATCCCGGGGTACGAAATGGCCAAAATTGGGTACAATTGAGTTTCATTTTTATATAACTCGTTTATATGTTCTATAATAAATATACTAAAATCTCTTTTGTGGGTCAGTTTTAATATTTTATATTATTAGTATCTACTTGGATTACTTATTCACGAATATTTTAACCGTATATATATAGTATTGCACATTGAATGCTGGTGTTGATAAAATAGTGATCGATATAATGTATCAGACCTACAGATTATATATTAATAAATATACTTTTTTTCTTCACCAGTAGCACGACTCAGAGTTTCATGCACAACGCAATCTTCAGATGCTGAATTGAGACACATCGTTACATAATTTAAATTTTGTTAAATATATCGTTTTTTTTTTTTCGTTTTTTTGCAATGGTGGGGCAGTCCATATTTTATACGGGGATTATTGTTAAAAATTAATATTGAATTTCGTATTTAAAATAAGCATCAATATAAATACAAGAGAAAAAATTATGAATTTCATATGAAAATAAACAGAAAAAGAAATGTAAAAACACACAGGTATCTACACAAATTATTTACTTCAAGTTACAGACGTCGAATTATAATCTAAATATTAATATTCAGCTCTAAGTATTTCTAAATAAATTTTTGCTTCCCTTATATCTTTAGAAATAATTTTACTGGTTAAGTATTTACAATTGTTAAATGATGTTTTGTGTGCGTAATTTCTTTTTCAGGGTCCTTCAGTCACTTATATGTATACATTTTCTTCGCTATCTGCCGTCTTTACAGTGGCTTAATATATTATATTGCTTTCAATTTAAGGGACATACATGCTTTGCTCTGCCATCACAGTTGAGTTTCGTTTGTGCGATGGATGGCACTTATTCTTCTGTTGTGTATTTTTGCTATTTGTATCGTGTTCTAGTTATAATTGTAGCTGACTTTTAATGTTTCTGTTGAGCATCTTGTAGGGAGTGGTTGATGGGGAAAAGTATTTTCGGATGAGGTTACTGAATATTATTTCTACGTTTGTTTTTTATTGTTTTGTTGTATGATGGGTTAGATTATGTGATGTTTCTTTTTATGCTATCTTATTTTTGTAGTGTGTGGTGTGTATAGGAGTGTAACCGAAAACCCACTATCTTTTAGTGATAGTTTCATAATTTCTTTGATTCCATTGAAGATGGTGCCATTAGAAAAATTGTCATATAAGAAACGGTTAATAGATGATGGGATCTGCTTCATTATTGTTGGTGGATGATTGGAAGATGTGTGTATATAAAATGGCTTATCGTTGGATTTTATATATGGCTGATATGTACATATTTTTTTATTTTGAGTGTGATGTCTACGAAATCTAGATTTTTATTATGTTTTTATGTCTATATCAAATCCTAAAATTTTGAAAATGTTTGTGATTACTTTTCTGGTTTTTTCTGCTTTTCATCTGTGTAGAAGTCAAATGACTTACCTGCTAACATGGCTGCCTTCTTGTGTCTCTTTGTAGTGATTTACCAAGCGTAGCTTGGATGTGGCACAAGGCCGAAAGTAAGGGGCACCCAGTGAGGATTGAACACACTACTCAGCCGTAATTGTTCTAGCGAGACAAGCTTGCTAACCATTACGCCACCTCGAGGTGCCCAGGTAATTTCCCAAGCGTAGCTTAGATGTGGCACAAGGCCGAAAGTATGGAACACCTAGTGAGGATCGAACTCACTTTTTAGTTGTAACTGATCTAGCGAGACAAGCTTGCTAACCATTACACCACGCCGAGGCGCCATCTTGTGTCTCTTTGTAAAGGCAAGCCAGCCAATCTACCTTATTTATAGGAGAGTACCTAATACATCAGGCGGGTTGGTCCATTTTTCAAGAATGGACCTTCCCACGACATTTGCATGAGTAGACTCTATTCACCCATATATCTCTGCATCAAATCATTTGGGAAAAATTGGGCTTGAAGTGACTACACCTGTCTACTTGTCTGTCAGACCACTTGCAAGCTAACCAACATTCTACAGTCTGTTATAGTTTAGTTTTTTTTTTATCATTTCACCCCAAGCCAGTCGGGAAAAGGCTATGTATAAAGGGGATCGAGGAAAGGATAAAAGATGAACGGGATTCAAGACAGAACATGGCGATTGACGTTGCATTTAAATTTTTGAAGATTGTAGTTTTCAGAAAAGTAAATACACGGAAGGGATTTTCACAGGCAAGAAGTGCGAGAAAAGAAACTGTTGGAGTAGAAGGGGCGGTTACATTTAACTATTTCAACAGTAAAAGGGTGGGACCTAGATGCCAATCTAGTAGCACACTTAAATTCATGTAGTCAGGGCACCAGGGGAAAAGCTCGTCAGTCCAGTTCTATGAAAATATCTGTAGACAAGACAGAGGGAAGCCACGTCACCTCCGTGAGAAAGTGACTGAAGTCGAGTTGCCAAGCCGGGATCTGAGATTTTGAGACCATCATCCCTGTAGAGGACTATATCATTTTGGTTGATTAGTTTGCTTACTTCAAGTACAGGGTGCCCAGTAAAAAAAAAAAAAAAAAAAAAAGAGCGGTAAATTCAGAAAAAGGTGAGAAAACGGTTAAAAACTGGTGACGACTAATGTAACTGAAATATTCATGAAGAATTTCTGCACATTTCGTCAATCCCCACGTTGGATTTTCTTCTTTGAAAAGTACGATAACTTGACGCTCAAAATCAGTAAGTTGTTTAGCTATGCGTGAAGGGCTGAACGAAAGACAAAAGTTGCCTGCAAATAACCTTTAAATGACGAGTCATAGGATCGAGAAGCAATTAATCAATCATAAAAGAACCAATCAGAGTTAAGTAATAACGCGAGAGTAGAATGATTATTCAAGGACATGAATATTCAAGAAATTTATTCAAGGTTATTCAAGGTTAATTATTCCTTTTGTGATGACAACGAATATTCGTTGCCACTTTCGTAATGCTCATTGAAGTAGAGACTTTGTAATCGCAGATACAACTACGGTGACGCCGTTGAACAATACTGGTGTCAGACGCCTTCGAATATCACTCGCACTTATAGTACTTGCTCGATAATACTCGCTCGAATAGTAATTACCGTATAGTGACCCGAATAGAGAAATAGAATTCTTTTTTCTTCCTTTCTTTCTTTTTCTTTCGCTTTTTCTTCTTTGTTTTCTATCGTTCATTTTTTCTTTCTTTTTCTTTCGTCTTTTCTTCCGTATTTTCTATTGTTCATTTTTCTTTTCTTTCTTTCTTTCTTTCTTTTGTGATGTCAACGAACACTCATTAACACTTTTGTGATTTCAACGAATACGCGTTGTCACTTTCGTAATGCTCGTTGTAGTGGAGACTTTGTAATCGCAGCTACAACTGTAGTAACGCCGTTGAACAATGCTGGTGTCAAACGCCTTCCAATATCAATCGCACTAATAGTACTTGCTCGATAATACTCGCTCAAATAATAACCACCGAATAGTAATTCGTATAGTGATCACTTAGACACCACGTTAATTCTCATATATACATTTCCTTTACCATCACGTGATTCAAAATGGGACCGCCTGTGTTTGATCTCTGGTGATCTGTGTTCAAACACCAGTGTCGTCAGCGACACTTTATTCCTATATAGCAATTCCTGAAAAGATAAAACTGATAATAAATTTGACGCTTTTTTACAGGACACCCAGTGGTATATACATGCCTGTCAGCTCGTAGGTTTAAGCTTCATCTACACTTCCCATTGTAACATCGAAATTCTTTAGCCAAGCATCTTAGTTGTCGAATAATAGTGATTTTCGTCAGTGAATGGTGATTTTTATTTTTTGTGTGTATATTTGTATGCGTTCCTGGGCTAAGGTACCATTATTTCGTCTTCAAATTATGCCATCGCATTTCATTCTGCCATTGTTCCGTCTTCAAAAATTATTTCATTCCGCTGTTATTCTGTCTTCAAAATTATTCCGTTCTTTTCCGTAATTATTCCGATTTTCGTCGCACTGAAACGTTCATCTTTTCAGTTTTCAGTTCATCATTCTCAACCTCCGCCCATCTTTACCACCTTCTGAGCGGCCAACGTTTTTTTCCCCTCTAAGCCACACTTAACGAAACCTGATCTCTATTATTATATATTTTTTGCCTTGTTCATCGTTCAACATTCATAGGCACAAACCACCAGACACATCTTTCCATTAGCGACTAAAGTAAATCCCTCCCGTTGGTGGGGTGGGAGTGACGCGTAACTTCAAATGGTTCAGTTTCCAAAGAGACTTATTGCAATATTTTGACGTATTGACTTTATAAACAAATCATGATACATAACCTGGACAGACACGGAGAAAAAATAATGAAGAAGAAGAAGAAGAAAAAGAAGAAGAAATATACTACAAATAATGCGCTGAAAGAAATAGATAATGAAGTGAAGAAGAAGGTGATGAATAAAAAAAGAAGATAACGAAACGGATGTAAAGAAGAATAAGAAAACGAACGTGCCGAAAGAAATAGAAAGTAATGAAAAATAAGTAAAGATGATAAAGAAGAAGAAACAGAAGATAAGAAAGAAAAAGAACATGCCTAAAGAAAGAGAAGATAAACAAAAAACAAAGAAGAAGAAGAAGAAGAAGAAACAGAAGGAGATAAGAAAGAAAAAGAACATGCCTAAAGAAAGAGACGATAAACGAAAAACAAAGAAGAAGAAGAAGAAGAAGAAATAGAAGAAGATAAAAAAGAAAAAGAACGTGTATAAAGTAACAAAAGGTAAACGAAAAAGAAAAAAAAGAAGGAGAAAAAAACAGAAGATAAGGAAAAAAGATGTGCTTAAAGAAAGAGAAGGTAAACGAAAAAGAAGAAAAAAGAAGAAACAGAAGTTGATAAAAAAGAAAAAGAACGCGTTTAAAGAAACAGAATATAAACGAAAAAGAAGCAAACAAGAAGAAGAAGAAATAGAAGAAGATAAGAAAGAAAAAGAACGTGTATAAAGTAACAGAAGGTAAATGAAAAAGAAAAAAAAAGAAGATGGTGAAGAAATAGAAGAAGATAAGAAAGAAAAAGAACGTGTATAAAGTAACAGAAGGTAAATGAAAAAGAAAAAAAAAAGAAGATGGTGAAGAAATAGAAGAAGAACGCAAAAAGTTACTCAGAAGGAAGAAGGTAACGCAAAAGAAGAAGTAAAGAAGACGAAGAAGGAAAAGAAGTAAACGTCTGTCGCGAAAGAAACAAAAGAAAACAATAAAGACGACGAAATAGAGGAACATAAGAAAAGGAAGTTTTTCCAAAAAGTATTGTGTAATGAAAAGAGTATTAAAGAAAAGAAGAAAAAAAAGAAGAAAAATAATGTGCTGAAAAAATTCAGAAGTAAACAAAGAAGTAAAGAAGAAAACGAAGAATTAGTAAAGAAGAAATAGTAAAAGGGAAAGAAGGGAAAAAAAATTGTCCAAATGAATCAGAAGAAAAAAAAAAAAGAAGTAGAGAACGAGAAATAGAAGAAGAAAAAGAAAAACTGTTTCGAAAGAAACGGAACGAAACGAAGGAAAAGTAAATAAAAAATAAAGAAAAAAAAAAAAAAAAGAAGAAAAACGAATACATTTTAGATTCTGAAAGAAACAAAAGAAAAGGAACAAGTAAAGAAGAAAAAGAAGAAAAAGAAAAAGAAGAAAAAGAATGGTCTGAAGAAACAGAACGAAACGAAGGAAAAATAAAGAAAAAATAAAGAAAAAAAACAAAAAAGAAGAAAAACGAATACATTTTAGATTCTGAAAGAAACAAAAAGAAAAGAACAAAGAAGAAAAAAAGAAAAAAAGAAGAAAAAGAATGGTCTGAAGAAACAGAACGAAACGAAGGAAAAATAAAGAAAAAATAAAGAAAAAAAACAAAAAAAAAGAAAAACGAATACATTTTAGATTCTGAAAGAAACAAAAGAAAAGGAACAAGTAAAGAAGAAAAAGAAAAAGAAGAAAAAGAATGGTCTGAAGAAACAGAAGGAAAGAAGAAATAGTAAAGAAGAAGAAATAAAGAAGAAAAACGAATGTTCTGAAAGAAACAGAATATAATGAACAAGTAAAGAAGAAAAAAAAAGAAAAATAGAAGAAAACGAAACTTCTGAAAAAAAAACAGAAGAAAAGGAAGAAGTAAAGAAGAAAAAGAAAAAGAATGGTCTGAAGAAAACGAAGAAAAAGTAAGGAAGAAGAAATAAAGAAAAAGAAAAAAAAAGAAAACAGAAAATTCTGAAAGAAAAAGAAAGAAATGAAGAAAAGTAAAGAAGAAAAATTCGAAAAAGAAAAAAAATGTTCTGAAAGAAAATAACAAAAGAAGAAAAAAGAAGAAATTACTCCCATTTTAACTGAATTGGATTTTGAAATTCTTATTTTTACGCGAAACTTGCGTGAGGAAAATTTGGATTCACGAATGCCCGTATGCATGCACACACGCAGACATCCATATATGTATATATATATATGTATACGCATATGCAAATACACAGCTACACATACAAGTATAAATATACGTACACACTATCAAGAAGAGAAATACATGTTGCTATGGAATACTTCCCAGTCCCAGGGCTCCGTCCCTGGGCTGGTGGTATCACGGCTATGACTAACTTGGACCGGCTCTGACCAGTTTGGACCAGCTATGACAAGCCAAGACGAGCTATGACTAGCTTAGACCAGCTTGGACAAGCTATGACCAGCTAAGACCAGCTATGACTAGCTTAGACCAACACTGACCAGCTTGGACAAGCTATGACCAACTAAGACCAGCTTAGACTAGCGGCCCGAGTGAAAACACTCGGGTCTCCACGTTAAAAACTGACCTTGTGTCACAACCTGATTCAGTGAGGGGTCAAGTAAATATCTACATCGTGCGATGGAATACTTCTCTACCCCAGGGCTCGTCCCTGGGCAGGTGGTATCACGATTACGACTAGCTTGGGCCGACTCTGACCAGTTTGGACCAGCTATGACAAGCCAAAACCAGCTATGACTAGCTTAGACCAGCTCTGACCAGCTTGAGCAAGCTATGACCAGCTAACCCAGCGGCCTGAGTGAACACACTCGGGTCCCCACGTTTAAAAACTGACCTTGTTTCATAACCTGACTCAGTGGGGGATCTAGTAAATATCTACATGGTGCAATGGATAAATTGTCTAAATTATGCAAAAATGAAAATAATACTGACATCTCATTTTAACAGATATATTTACCAAAATTACAAAAAATATCTTAAAATACTAGAATAAAATCATCATTGGCTTCATCTACGGCCTCCAGACAACTTTGGAATCTCCTGCAAATCTTCTGGGCGGTCTCCTTGTTTATGTTATCTTGCCTTATTCTTGTTATCTTGCCTTCAGTTCATCTTCATTGGTGTTAGGAGTTTTGTAGGTCTCTTGCTCAACTGCGCCCCACACATAATAATGGGGGGGGTTCAGTCTGGGGAGTTAGGTGGCCAAGATGTAAGGGGTGATGTGGTTGCAGAAATTGTCTGACAGCTATGACTGCATTCTCCTGCTTGTGTGGCATGATGCAGTGTGCTCTTGCCAAACATAGGGTCCCCAGCAGCCACCTTCTTGACCCAGAGTAGCACTACCTCCTCAAAGCACTTGATGTAGGCCTCCGTTTTGAGTCTGAGGCCCCGTGGGAAGATGAACGGAGGCATAATGCCGCTATCACTAGTGATCACACCAAACACATTCGTAATCGCAATTAGACTCATCCAACTCTTTCCGAATTCTCTGCGCTCTCCCCTCATTCTGAAATGTTTGTATTGGGGTTTCCGGTGCGAATGCCAAGCAATACAGCATGCTGTTTCCAAATTTCTGGCGGAGTAGATTTTCTCACAGACGGTGCCCAACTGACCCTACTATACTGTACAGTCGACAAAATAAAAAAATACAACGCGCATGCACGAAATTAAAAATATAAAATGGCGACAATTTACCCATCACACCCTGTATATATGGCCACACATAATGGTACCTCCCATAGAACCATGAATAAAACATTATCACATCAATATCGTGAAGTTGATTCTCGCTGAATAACTCATTATTGTGACATTGTGCCAAACAATATTAAACTGATTAAGGAACTGATTAAGAGAAAGTTTTTTAATTACTTGGAGACGGCAACGGAAAACCACTCCACCATCTTTCCTAAGAATACATGGCCATTTATAGATAATAAAAAAAGTGGAAGCTGTGGAGAACCTACATCGAATCTCTTCTCTTTCAGCTATGGGTTAAATATCAAGGGAAGTTAGGCTTTTAATCCTGGGTTAGCAACCGTTATAAGGTCAGCTCTGAATTGAAAGGCCCGAGAAGATTGAGTACTGGAGCCTTCGTTGGCGACCAGTCTAGAGGAATGTTAACTCCTAATTCAAAACCATAGTGTAGACAGCGGACATTTTTACTAAGGAGTCATAAGAATTTACATAGAAATAGAAGTTGAGGCGGACCATGATGGCTTACCTCGTGAAAGGACACAGTATTTAAAACAAGATAAGAAACCCCGTTTTAATCGCTTAATAAGAATAATTAACGACGCAATTGTAGTTCGAGATTATAATCATTGTGAACTCCATGGCCCCGTCGATGACTGTGTCCTGCGATGTTATGGTTACATACGGTTTTGAGTTAAGAGTCATCCTTCTCCTAGACAGGTCGCCAACCAGAGGATAGAGGGCGCAATCTACCTTGTTATTTAATCCGTAGCTAAGTGGACAAGAGATGGATTCATACCTTTCCCAAAGGGTATGAATCTATCTATGAAACTGCCAGTGGGAATCAAATAATATACTCCCTCACAGTTGAACACTCATAAGACGCCGTCGGCTCAGTCAAACCCGAACAAAATATTATCAAGGAAACTATACAAAAAAAAAAAAATCTTTTTCATAACACTAAACCAAGAAATATCCATAACTTCTTAAAGGAATTCAAACTTTATACCAAAATATACAGTCCTGGGTATAACGATAAACTACATCCGGCAGCAAGGTCTCTGATCGGGAGGTTTTGAAAAGTGTGGAACACTGGCTTAATTGCTGTTGTTCTCAGGTATGGACAAATATTTAATCCCACAAACACTATGAAATGATAAAAATTATTTTAGTAAAATACCAGCAATACATTTTCTCAATAAAAGAATTACCAGTAATACATTTGTTTAAAAAAGAAATTACCAGCAATACATATTTGTAAAAGAAATTACTAATGTTTTCAAGAAAATTAAATTTTGGCATTGAATGACCCTAAACAAACAAATATAGCAAAATATAAAACTTTAAAATCTCTTAATGAAACTACATAAAACATTTAATGTATTTAGAAAACTGGTAAAGAAAAGGAAAAATGACCCATCAGACTTCTTAAAGATTCCATTAAAATAATAAAGCAAACTCTAAACTAAAATAATAAAGCAGAAACTGAATACAAACTAACTTGTTTTAAGAACAAGCATCTCCAATAACTGAATAAAAAGAAAGAAAAATAATAATTTTCTCTAACCTGCAACTTACTTGCCACATGCCGGGGAGAGATTTTTATGATTTATGATGATGATATTTCAGCATTCTAGAAATAAAAATCTGAAATTTCATCATTCTAAAAATAACCTTTCCACCACAAGCAAAGTAGTAAAAACAACAAGACAGACATATCTTCTTCGCTCTGTGAAAATCCAAAGTTGACAGTTTCAAAGACTTCCCTTAACCATGAACTTTTCTGAACAATTATAAACAAGCCTAAATTTCAAAGAAACAAAAACAGACAATAACCCTGAGAACATTTAACAGACACAAAACCAATATTGTAAATAATACCACGAAAAGAAAACTACACATACTTGTCATTAATTTCAACACGTGCCTCAATTATTGTTGTTATCGGTATTGTTATGGATAGCAGCTTGGACTGAGGAATCGGAGAGCCGAGTTCAAATTCCTCAATTCCAGTCGAATCCATTACATTCACTTACGTGCTAATACCCTTGGGAAAGGTGTGAATCCTCTTCTTCTCCCTTCAGCTATGGATAAAATAGCAGGACAGACTGAGTTCCTTGGATGACAACTGGTTAAGGAGAACTCTGAATTCAAAACCTGCGGAAGGTCGTTTGGGGACCTTGTGGCACGTAGTGCACCAGGTCTCTGTATTCGGCCCTTCAAAAAGTGTGGATGGTCCTGCACGAAACCTTCACCACTATAATCAAAACTCATGTGTTGTTGTCGGGCTGTCGGTTTCCTGGGAACTGATCTG